GGGAAGGTGTGTAAGTGTTAGTCGTGTGGGGATGCCCCCTCACGGGGGCGTACGTGTCTTTTGGTGTATTTGTCTGTCTGGTATATTGTTTGTCGGGGGTCGCAATTTTAAAGAAATGTATTCTAAAGTAATGCAAATAACTGATAAATAAGTAAAAACTTACCTGGGCATAACCCCGGCACAGGTGCTGTAACAAAGATGCCGACGGCGTCTATGCTTAAGCCGGGGATTAGGTCGGTGATTAAAAGGAAAGAAAGGGATTCTTTCAAGGTAGCCTTAATAAAGGCAGGTAGAATTTGCTCCTTGCACTACACTTTCACAAAACACGTGTGCTCTGGTCGGCTGCCCGCTAGGAACTGAAATAATGCGTTTCTACGATGAGTAACACAGTCTAACCACCACAATTTATGTTTTCGGGATCGCTGAAACCAATTCTGATATCAATATAACTTCAACTACTCAGAGTTCGTGCCTAACCTCAAAAAAGTAGCGCAAATTGCTAAGATTACACTTTTCTACGTTTAGGAATTAAGTGTAACCAACATATCTTTATATTTTTGGAGTCACTGAATCGAATTCCTACATTCGTTTGAACCCAACTAGTCATTAGTCGTACATAACCTCAAAAGCTATAATAGTGCGACCACCATATTTTTATGTTTTTTTCTAAACAAGCTTGTAATATGATGAAAGGTATGTTCCATATAAAAAGAAAAAATCATTTTTAGAAGTTCTGCATATAATACTAAAGAAAAGGTAATGCAGACTTTATGTCTTAGCCATGATAACGGCCACACCCGATTAAACACAAAAAGCATACATCATGTAATTTTTTTCAATTTTAGTTCATGTTGTTGAAAAAACAATTTACTTATGCTTAGAAATAACACAATTTTGTTGAAAAAAATTACATGATGACAACCAGAGTTAAAAACAGTTTCGAATGAGGTGTCACTCGACCTAGAGTGCCATTTAAGATTCTAAAGTTGAATGTGCCCCCGCGAGGGGGGTTGTTCTGGCGAGTCTGTATTTAACGCTAAAATGTGTCCCCCTCAAAAACAAAATGGACGTGTCGCGGCAATTTTAATATATTGAAACGTAGTTCAAAATAAACCGGGTGCAAAGTTTTCAATGGTACACCCTGTATATTGTTTAACCTGTTGAATTTAAAAATATCGAAAGTACTAAAAGGACGGGATAATTCTTATGTAAGCCTTAATCGATTCGGCAAATACTATTTCGAAATGTATTTCAGTATGTGAATTCAGTCAACGAACTCAGAAATTAAAATGATTTGATCAAAACCCTAATCAAAGTGTCAGCGCACCAGAGACTTTTTGAAAGCGTTTGAGTGATGCTATCCAATATTTCGTGTTTTTTATGTGTATCTTCAGGCGCCATATTGGAACTACCATGAGAGGGTTAGAGAAGTGATACGGCTTGGGGGTAACTTTTGTAAATAACAGATCAATCGGATATAATAATCAACTTTAGTTACCTGTAATAGATTATAAGCGATTTTAGTGATATTGTGATCAGACTTTATAACTCAACCAGAGAAAGTGTCATTTTAGCGATTTGGAATATTTTTTTGAGGTTAGGTATGACTAGTGACTAGTTGGGTTCAAACGGATATAGGAATTCCATTCAGTGATCCCAAAAATATAAAGATATGTTGGTTACACGTCATTCCTAAACGTAGAAAAGTGTAATCTTAGCAATTTGCGCAACTTTTTTGAGGTTAGGCACGAACTCTGACTAGTTGAAGTTATATTGATATCAGAATTGATTTCAGCGATCCCGAAAACATAAATTGTGGTGGTTAGACTGTGTTACTCATATAACAGCGACCAGATGGGGTTTAATGAATATTGAATTCGAAATCAGCAACCCCAAAACCATATAGATATGGTGATTCAGTCTACAATACAGTATTTTTATGTTTCTTATCTATCAATATTGCTGATTAAACAAAATTTTCCATGATTGCGGACGCCATATTGAAACCGCCATGATGTTTTTATAAAATCACCAGACGGCATTTGATAGAGTTTTTAAATACGAAGCTTTTGACACGTCGAACGTCAATATTGATGCATTTTTATTCTGGGCAGCCCACTGTGCCCGTTGACGTGAAACGCAACTGGATTTGGTTAAAAAAAAATGTCAACTACTGTAGAAGATACAAACCAATATGATTGTATTTATTCTAAAACTGAGCATAATCTATTTAACTCATTTTTTACAGTGATAAGTAAAAAATGTGTTAAACTTAAAAATAATTGTCAGTAATTTTTTCTTCACTAGTCCTCTACAATGCACCATTCCTTAAATGGAAAAACTTAAAAAGCCTCTGTGATGAGGATTCAAGCCCTTGTTTCATTTAAAACTTTAAAAATGGTAACAAGTTTATGTCAAAAGATGATGAACCTCTATTATATCTACTTTTTTACGTTTTTGTATGGTTGGATAATACTTACAATATCTAATACAGTAGGCATAAATGTGTCTCCTTGGTGGTAATTACTAATCTCCTTGGTATTCCATCCTTCATATACATACACATCTAAATAATTTTTTTCTAGAATTATTAAGCCTTTAGCAGTAAATTTTTCACCTGCAATGTCAACGTTAACAGTAGTTTCAAATCCTTTAGCGTCTTTTTGTACACATGCTAAAAAATGTCGTACAATGTATTCATATATTTTCTGTTCGTTGCCAGTTAAATTGGCTGCATATTTTGTAGGATGTATAGGAGGATGCGCCTAAAATTTTTTTTATTACTGCAAATAGGTTACCCATTTCAAATATTACCTTATCAGATTTTTTTCCTTGTCGAGGATTTGGTCCACCTTCATTCATTATTCTGCGAGCAAATGGACCCCATCTAGCATCTTCCATTTGTTGTTCGACTAGGGGGGTCAAATTCAATTCTTTTGGAAAAATATTTGTTTCAGTCCTAGGGTAACTAATATAACCCTGAGTATAGAGTTTCTCTGCTATTTTCATGGCATCTTTGGCATTGATTCTTAACTTTCTTGAAACAATTTTCTCCATTTCCTAATGATTAAAATACTTTGATAATTGATAAGAAAACTTTTTAGTGGATTTGGTAAATTGAAAAATAAACATTAAAATATATAAAAAAAAACTTAAGAGGAATATGGAGCATCAATAATGTTTCAAGTTTGCTTTATGAATTAATGTTCAATTATTAGAATCTTTAGAATCTGCAGGGTATAGAAGTTTAAAAATTATTTTTTTAACCCATTAAAAAAAACGAAGGCTTAAAAATGTCTACCGATTTGGATTACAGCATAAAATTCAAATCATCTTGTGTCATAAAAGTTGTAAGATAAAACAGGTTAGGAATCTCCCACCACATTATTTTTTATTCACATACTTGTAACAGAAAGGACACCCAAAAAAATTATTTGAATATGAGATCTGCTAATATCTATGTTTTCTGACTTTTTCCTGAGCAACATCTTTGGATTGTCTTGTACAGTCCATAACCACAATAGTAGCAGCATTGTTATCAGTGTATTCTTTTTTATCTTTTTAATAACTTTACATCACCAGTATTATCTAATTTTATAATTAGTTTGCAAACTGTTCTACGAATTACAGTTACATTTGGATACTTTTTATTAAAAATTTGTATTGAATATCGATATGAAACATTATCGATTCCATATCATTTCGCAAGATAAATTGCATTGCTCCAGGGTTAGTATTATTAATAAAAATTATTCGCTGGGCAGTTAATAAAAATAAATATGTTGACTTTGAACTTAATAAGGAAATATCCACAATAATTATATGGTAGGTATGTAAGATAGTTAAAAAGTGCGGCGTCTGGTGGAAGATTTATTGTGAACAATCCTTTTATAGAATCTGTCAAAAATGCAGGTAATTTCCACGATATTGCTGTCAAAATGTTTTATTCCTTGGAAAATAGATTAACAATTAATCCTAATTTACGGTCAGATTATATAAATTTCATGAGAGAATATAAAATCTTGGACATATGTCTGAAATTGAAGATTCAAAGGATAAAGAGGGCTATTTTATACCACATCATACAGTGGTTAAATTAACAAGTAAGTACAAAATGTAGAGTTGTTTTCAATGCATCTGTTAAAACAAATAAGTAACGAGTTGTCACTTAATGATAAGCAGTTTATTGGTCCTGGTTTACAAAACAAAATATTTGCTGTTTTATTAAGATTTCGACAACTTAAATATGTTAAAGCAGCAGACATACCTATCTAAAATGTATAAACAGATTTTAATTGATGCAAATCAACGATGCTATCAAAAAATATTTTGAAGTTCTAATTCAGATGGAAATCTGAAATGTTTTGAGCTAAACACGATGACATATGGCACTGCATTTGTGCCTTATCTTGCTGTACGATGTATACCTAATGCAGCTTGCAAAAGAGAATATGGCAAAATTTTCGCGAGCTAGTGAAATAATTGCTAACAGTTTTTGTCAATGATTTGTTAACCTGGTCTGATTTGTCTTCCGTGTTAATAGAAATTCAAAGGGGCATCTATAAGGGTATAAATAATAAGTTTAGCCAAACTATTCTATTCTAGTATTCTATCGATGAAAATAATCAAGTTTTGCCCTATAAAAATTTTTGATAGGACGCTTCCCTACGGAGATACAGGGTGTTAAAAGTATCAAATATTTATATTATTTTTCCTGTAATTTCACTGGCAAAAAAGATTGAGTGATAAAATTTGGTGGATGACATTTTTTTACTAGGGACTATTTTTTAATTGATAACTTATTCCAAAATATACTCCAGTGGTGTAGTTAATGGGGGAGTAGGCCACTGGTTTTCTAAATAATTTTAAATGTTTTTAAAATGTAAAATCAATTTGTGGCAATAAAGTATTTTTGTAAAGTATTCGTATAATTTACTGGTCTTTAGACAATTGGGAAATCAAAGATGCTTAAGGGGGTTCGCTAGATCTCTTGCGGGGCAGACGGTACGGGAGGGAAGCCTGTGCTTATACACGGGAAATTCGCTACAGTACCAACCTTACATAAACTAATTTAAGTGAACTAAATATAATATATGCGAATTAAATTTTTACAACACATATTAGTTCGCAAATATATTTTTCGTGTTTAATGTACGACAAATTACTTTGTATTTGAATAAAATTGTCTATTTATTCATTAAGAGCTTGTAAAACTATGGGTGAAATCTGGCAACATTGCACATCAGTGTGGTGTGGTGGTAAAAGTTTTCGGTATTGAATCTGCTTAAGTACCTATATTACTATTTACCATTTTCTATTGATTGCTAAATGTGTAACAATAAATTCAATAGGTACCTAATATTTTTGAGATATTTCAAAACATAACAATACGTAAATAATAATAATAAACAAAAATAATATAAATACTTGAAACTTGTAACACCCTGTATATTCGCAGGAAAGCGTCCCATCAAAAATTTTTTTAAGGCAAAACTTGATTATTGTCATCGATAGAATACGCCATTAAAGTTTGGCTAAAATTATCATTTACACCCTGTATATTAATGGGCGCAGATATCGAGTTACGAAAATGATGTAATGGGCTGAAACTTATTTTTTTGTTTAATGAAATCTTACCAGTAAGTATATTACAGATTGGCGAAAACAACGCTCCCGGGATGCCACTGGATTTAATAATTTTAATCTAGTTAGGGCTAAATTAGCCCCTTTCTATCATAAATAACACTGCCAAGTTATAACAAAATTGGATAAAGAATTATTAAGATTTTTACGAAAAAACGATTTTTTTTAAATAGTTTGACACCCTGTATCTTGAAAACGAAGCATTACCGGCATATGTTTATATAAACTTTTCGTCTTAGTATCCCTCTAAGAAAATAACCTTTTGATATTTGGCCACGTACTTAAATAACACCCTCTACAGGGTGGTCCGAATTTTATGCAGGAAACTTCCAGGGCAGATAGATGTCTTTAAAATAATAGATGTTTGCCTTATAAACATAGGTCTGGAACGGCCTCGTTTTAGAGATACAGGGTGTTGAAGTTGTTAAAAAAAATTCATTTTTTGTTTATATCTCCGGAATCTATTAACTGATCTGAATAAAATTTGGTACAGATAATGTATGACAGTAGGCCTTGCATTCTCTAAAATATGAGCTCTAAAGGATCGACCAGTGGTGTACAACTGGACAGGGTCACCCCTTTTTTATAAAAAAAAACCTGCGCCACTGTATTTCTTACAAGCTATTGTAACGGATTTATATTCTAATGTACAAAATACGTAAAAAAAGTAACGTGAATTTTTTCCCTAAAGTCCACCGTTCTCAAGTTATTCATATGAATACAATCTCCTTGTGGCGGTTACTTCTAACCATAATATTACAAGAATATTTATGTTTATGCTTAAAAGTAAGTGCAATTTGGAAGCACATCAACAAAATTCTTTACACTCGTCGCTTTCATCTTTTGAGTTAAAACGATATTTGGAAAATCACGACGGCGCAATGAAAGACACAGAAATGAAATTTTAAGAACATTGGGGTGAGTAGAAATCCGTGCTATTTACAACCTGTGCAAAATTTACTTCCGGGAGATGTAGACACACCTGAATTTTTGTTAGTGGTAGTTTTAAAGTCCAAACATAATCCAGAATTCTTACTAGAAATACTTTGGACTGATGAGGCTACGTTCACAAGGCGAGGGGTTAGTGAATTTTCACAATATTTTGTCACAAGAAAATCCTCATGAAATTCGGACAAGATCTTTTCAACATGAATTTTCTGTGAAAGTGTGGCTCGGAATAATTCGGATCTTATTTCTTGTCACCCTATCTAAATTCCCAGCATTTCTAAACTTTCTAGAAAACGATCTTTTTGAATTATTAGAGGATGTTCCATTAAATATACCACAAAATAGCTGGATACAAATGGATGGTGCTCCTGCGCATTTTAGGAGAATAATACAATAATGGCTTAAAAATTATATGGGGCGATGGATAGGTTGAAGACCAAATGCCAATGTCAACCATAATGGTGCAGAGAATCCAGTCTCTTGGCCAGCCAAATCGCCAGATCTAAACCCCCTGGACTTCTACGTTTGGGGTTACCTATCTGAAAAGTAAAGTTTACTCTACTCCACCACAACTACTGCAGCGAATAGAAGAGGGGTGTAATGAATTAAAAGAAAACCACCACATGATATTAGTTAGGTAATTCCATTAATCATTAATAGAAATTGTCAGAAATGTATCGATGTGGATGGTTCGCATTTTGAACAATTGCTGCAAATACGTAACGTTAATTTCATTTCTTGTTTAATTGTTGTTGCTTGGTAAATGTATTTTTATTATTATTTTCATTTAAATTGTTCTTATTTGTAAAGATAGTGGATTAAGCCTCCAGGAGAAACTAAAACACACTAGGAACACTACCTCACAGGTGATGTGGAAATAATTTTGTTGATCTGCTTACAAATTGCACTTACTTTTAAGCATAAACATAAATATTCTTGTAATATTATGGTTTGAAGTGTCTGCCACAAGGGGATTGTATTGGTATGAATAACTTGAGAACGGTGAATCTTAGGGAAAAAATTCAAGTTACCTTTTTTACGTATTTAGTGCATTAGAATATAAATCCGTTACAATAACTTGTAAAAAATACAGTGGCGTAGTTTTTTTTATAAAAAGAGGGCGACCCCTGTCCAGTTGTACACCACTGGTTGAACCTTTAGAGCTCATATTTTAGGGAATGTAAGGCCTACTGTCATACATTATCTGTACCAAATTTTATTGAGATCGGTTAATAGATTCCGGAGATATAAACAAAAAAACAATTTTTTTTAACAATTTCAACACCCTGTATCTCTAAAACGAGGCCCTTCCAGACCTATGTCTATAAGGCAAACACCTATTATTTTAAAGAGATCTATCTGCCCTCGAAGTTTCCTGCATAAAATTCGGACCACCCTGTATAATAAAATGAGTCAAAAAAAATTTTTTGGATTTATTATTATTTCCAATGCAAATATAACGCCATCATAGTGACAATTTGCTGTCAATGTACAGGCATTTACATCGATTTTTCTAAATGAGTTTTTTTTTGGAAATAGTTCTTCTTCTTCTTCTTCTCCTAGTGGTTGGTCTTAATAAGTCCCATAGTACCGCGGCCTAATTAGGCCTATTGTGCGTCCCACTGCTAGTCCTATTCAGCAAGTAAATTTGTCCTTTTGACAAAGTCCAAAAGCTTCCTTGCTGACACTTCTCTCAGTTCCTTGGGTTCCAAATAAGGCCTCCCCAGGAGCGCCATTCTACTACGTGCAAATCCCGGGCACTCGCCCAGGATATGCAGAGAAGTTTCATCCGCCGATTCATATCCTCGGCAGATCGTACTGTCTACAAGATTTACCTTATGTAGATGTTTCCTAAAGTGACAGTGTCCCATTATGAGTCCTGTCACTCTCCTGAGGAGGATTTTGTTTAAGCTCAGTAAATCGTTCGCTCTTTCCTTCGAAGAATACTCCATGAGCTCCTTAAAATGGCTATGTCCTGGCCTTGAAGTCCAGTATTTCCTGTGTTCTGTCTCAGTCCATGGAAATTGTTAATATTATTGTTTTCTAGCAAGAGGACAGTTTTACAAAATTTTCAAATGATATATGATATCAATAACTGGTTTCATTTTTTGAAAAATTGCAAATAAAATACAGATCAATTCTCTCAATAATAAAAAAAAATTGAACAAAATTTGTGAAACTAAAAAATTAAAATAGGTATTACCGACTTTAAGATTTCAATGAGGGTTGCACATTTCTTTCTTTTTTTTTAATGATATATATATAGTTTTTTTATTTTTCATAAAATTTTCATTCTTCTTAAAGTTTAAAACTGGGTCATTAAATTTGAAAAAATGAAATTCACATTAAACAAAGGAAATGAGAAAATCTATGAAGATAAAATAAGTTTGTAAAACAAGAAAAAACACCTGATTCTATCATTTGATTCTGAAAAAAAATTATATTTTGCATATATATTTAAGGGTTCTATTCTTCATTGCACTTTAATGTTCAGGAGCAATCAATGCTTTTTGTAAACTGGGAATTTTTTTACCATTTTTGCAAAAAATTCGTAACAAAAAATGGTAATCGACATTATTAAAAAACCTTAAATTACATTGTGTTCAAAAATATATATCAAAAATACATTAATCTAATTCATGTAGAAGTAAATAAGTTTTTACTTTAATTTTACTTACAACTGTATCCAGAGGAAGTGGTCTCCATTTGCTCTTTTCCTTACTCTCAACACTTTCTACCGTTGCTTGTGGGTTTTCTCTACAATGGTCTAAGATAGCTTCACAAGAGTTTTTGTCAAATAACCTAACTCTTTTCCATGAAAAATCTGTTGTAGTATCCTTAACTGTGTGATTCACTTAAAAATTAAAACATTTATTTTTGAGGTCAAAATAAGACGATTTAACTAAACTTACCTCTATCCAAAGTTGCTTCGTTTAGCCACTAAAGGACAACAAATTGTAAAAAAATTTACTGACAATACTTAGGCATACATGTGACTTTTTTATATAATAACTTCAGTTTTTTCTTATTTATTGGGTATTTTTCAACCTGTGAAAAAAATTTATTGAGTAAACCCTTGCACCAAAGAATCAGCCAAGGATTATTTTTTATGAAAATAGTTTTGCCTAACAATAAATATCACACTGAAAAAAGCCAACAAATAAAAAGTACAAAATATACATATTATTAATATGCGATATATTATACTCTTCAATAAGTCTTGACCTTTCGAAAATCTCTCCTCTTCAATACTCAATACAATACTTTTGTAATAACAGTTTAAATTTGTTTGTTTCTGTTTGCTTCCATATATCATATGTTTATTTTATTACAACTTATACCCTTTAGTATTTGTAGTCAACAAAGATGCAATCAGATTGATTTTTGAAATACACAGACTTATTGATGTGCGTGTCTGCTTTTTTCAGTGTATTTTTTAGTTAGACAAAATTATTTTCAAAAAAACAGACTGATCCTTTTTTATATTTAATTTATTAATTTTGTTTCAAACCTGGCAAAATACCCAATAAATAAGAAAAAATGAAATGCAGTAACTGTATTTATAAAACTCGAATAAATGCCCCCACCCCTAAGCAAAATATACTATTTTCTTTGCAAGTAACTTTCTTATTTTATTACATAGAAAATGGATATTTCTAAGTTTTTTCTCCCTTAAAAATTGTTTGCATCTTTTAAGATTTTTGCATAATTATATTATTATTATCAATGCATTTTCAATACCACTCTGATTTGTCAAAGAAAATTTAATTTATATGTAGTAATATAACCAACGTAGTTAATATGAAGTAATTCTTTGCAACGTTCAGTAACTTGTAATCCAATGATCTTTCATGAAAATCAACATTTTTAATAAATAATTTAGAAAAAAAAATATATCCTCAAAAAGCTCTATAAAATTTTAAATTTTGTTATTAATTTTAATTGAAAAATATTAAATTAAATTAATCGGAAGAGACATTACTGTGCATAATTCACCCAATGAGGGATATATAGAATTAATATGATTATTATTATTCTACAGGGTGTCTCTAAAGGGTCTGTACAAAGCTGTACCTGAATTGTATGGCTCAAAATAAGTTGATTTAACTAAACTTGCTTTAGTCTAAAAATGGATAATAAGGGAGCTACAGGGTGTCAAATTGAAAAAATTTATTACATTTTCTTTAATCTCTTTCGACTACTTCGAGCTAATTTTGTGAAATTTCGTATCTGGAGACAGAACTGATTTGATTTTTGGTTGGCTTTTGACTCTTCATCAATGAGCAGCAAGTGCAGGATATATTTATCCATTGAAAAATATATCTTTTAAGAGAGGTCAATAATAAATTATGTTAGACTGTTTTTTTTTATAGGCATATTTCTTGCTAATAAACGATTGCTCCTAATTTCGTTTATCAGTGGAGTTAAAATAAATTTAAACAATTTTTTTTAAGCATTTACAAATTTTAATGCCTTTTTGTTGAAAATGAGATATTAGCAAGGTATGCCCTTTTTAAGCAGAAACGTTGGTGGGAAAGATTTTTCTAGCCCAAAGTGAAAAACACCATGGCACAAAATAGTGTAGGCAGTTTAAATGCGTCCTAATGATCGCTTGTGGCGCCCTCTAGAAGATATAATGAAATCGCCAATAAATTCGAATTTCTCATCCAAAAAAAAACGGGATTCACGAAATTAGCTCGAAGTAGTTAAAAGATATTAAAGAAAATGTTATTAATTTTTTTAACTTTGACACCCTGTAGCTCCATTATTATCAATAATTTTTGGACTAAGGCAAGTTTAGATAAATCATAAATTTTGAGTCGTAGGTACTATATCTGGTGGAGCACTGTACATACCCTTTAGAGACAACCTATATACAGTGCTATTTTTTTAAAACCTGACATAGGCCAACTTTTTTATTTGAAGTGATAGACTAGTACTTCTAAATGCAAAGCTGTAGGACATAACTTGATTAAGAAAAATTTACAAATAATTCTTTCCGGCATTGCCAGATTTCTGCAGTAGCTACTAAAAGGAAATTTTTTTAAATGGCAACACCATATTTTTTTAACATAATTTGACAAACCTTCAAATTCTAAATAGAAAATGTTATGAAAATGTTATGTCACATTTCTTTATTGGAATAGCCGTTTTCGAACAATCAACAAAAATAACGAAAATAATCTATAGTCGGAACTAAAAGAAACTAACACAGCAGTAGTAGGCCTTTGATATTAAACAAAAATTGTGTTGTTTGAAAGGAGCTATCATTATTGTATTGTCATTGTGTTTTTTGAAAGCTGTTATATTTGAATGTGTATAAAAATAACGTTTAAATCAGTTGCTAAGATGAATCAATTATTTAATCCAAAAGAGAAAGTTGAATTAATTTTTCTTCATGTTAATGGCTTAAGGATACGCAATTCGTGGGCTGAATTCCACGCAAGACATCCCGATAAGCCTTTTCCAAATCCGGAGTTTTTAAGAACTAACTTAGTAAAACTGAAAACAACCGGTAGGATCTGCAAAAGGCTGAAAATCATCTTCGAAATTGAATTAAAGCGTTACTTTTATACACATTCAAATACAACAGCTTTCAAATAACACAATGACAATACAATAATGATAGCTCCTTTCAAACACAATTATTGTTTAATATCCAAGTCTGGGACCGCCTAGCCGGGTGTCTTGGCCGGTGGATTTCGATCTGCCGAGGCAAGCATCACGGACGCAGGCTGGAATTTGGATGGGTGGCCTAAGGCAGGCTATAGGACGTGGCTGTGGCAGCCTACCAGAGACCTGGGTCGCTCAATATTTGCCGCATGCGTGTGGTCCCCGATAAAAGATAATGAGAACAGAGCAAAGAAATATCTGTAACTCAAGACCATGCTATCATACATAAACTGTACGAGACTTTGCCACCAAGCCACCCGTGTAGTAAATAGGATGGTTTGAAGAAAAGTACTTGAGGAATGAAGGAGGGTGTACAAGGGGCCTAATAAGGCCTAAGTGCCGCGGTGCCAAGAGCGCCGAATGGCAAGGTGGAACGTTTTCACCGCCAATTAAAAGCAGCGATAAAATGCCACCGAAACGATCGATGGACTAGCATTCTTCCCACTGTGCTATTGGGAATATGTGCAGCATGGAAAGAAGACATTCAAGCTACCGCAGCCGAGATGGTGTACGGACAACATCTACGCCTACCCGGAGAATTTCTTCATTCCCGCAGGACAAACGAAGAGCTCAGCGCCGAAGCGAATTTTGTTAAGGACCTCAGACGTCATATGGAAAGCTTACGTCCAGCCGCAGTTAAACGCCATGGCGAGAAGACGCCATTCGTTTTTAAAGACTTGGCAACAGCGACACATGTTTTTGTGCGTGCGGGCGTTAAAACTCAACTACAGAACCCCTATGATGGTCCGTTTACAGTGATCAAACGCGACGACAAAACATTCACGGTGCTAGTGCGTGGTCGCGAAGTTAAAGTGTCCATAGACAGAGTCAGACCAGCATATTGTTTGAATGATGCGACAGCTACCAGGGACGAGAACAATAGCCTTCCATCAACTTTTGCCCCATTATCCGTGCCAACCACACCCAAGGCAATTACCACTAGGTCCAGTAGAAGGGTCCGTTTCCCTGACCGGCTGCAGGTTCCGTGATGGCATCCATATTGGCAAGGGGGTGTGTGGGTACACATATTCGCAAGTGACACATTATAATATATAACACTATATAATTTAGTTTTCAATAAAATACTTTATTATTGCCGTTGAGAGAGCGTTTTATTCTTGCTGTACAGCGAAAACAACCCTCAGCTTCTTTTAGTTCCTGCCGACTGCATATTATTTTCGTTGTTTTTGCCGATTGTTCGAAAACTTATCGTACTCCAATAAGGAAATATGACAACATTTTTTATTTAGAATTTGAAGGTTTGTCAAGTTATATTAAAAAAATATGGTGTTGCCATTTGAAAAAATATGGTTTTTGTAACTACTGCAGAAATCTGGCAACACCGGGAATTATTTGTAAATTTTTCTTAAATCAAGTTATTACCTATAACTTTGCATTTGGAAGTACTAGTCTATCACTTCAAATAAAAAAGTTGGCCTATGTCAGGTTTTAAAAAAATAGCACTGTATTTATATATTTTCATTTAGCGAACTACAAGTGTATGTACTAATGAAAACATCATTTTATGGAAAAATATGAGGTCCAATTAAGTATTGCTCAACGAATTTTTTAACATTAAAATTAAGTAAGTACTATACCACACAAACAATAGTAATTTTAATGGTAAAATGTTGACATGATTTTTATTTATGTGATTACAGTTTGTTTTTCCTTGGTTACACAATACTTATATTTGTACAGGGTGATTTCACTTTAAATACAGAAACTGCAGGACTAGATTCATTACTTACCAAAAATAAGTAGATTTTGCTCTATAAACTTTTTTCCTGCGGGACACCGGATTCGAGATAAAGGGTGTTACGAGTTTACAAAAAATTTACTATAGTGTATTTACTTAATTAGACCTTTTATTGAAAGTAATATTAACCATGTGACTTTAACCAGTGGCGTGCTACGGGACGTGCCGCTCCAATTTCCTAAGAAAAAAATACGCCACTGGCAGGTTTTTGTAGAAATAATGTTACATTCAGCATTAAATGAATGAAAAATGTATCTTGGTGTTTTTTAATAGTAGTAACCATTTAGAAGATATTTGAACTTGTTTTTATGTTTTATTGAATATTCCTTGTAAATTAATCCGTTTATTTGATAAAAATCTCCTGGTTTTAACCACTGGCGGTTTTTTGTAGAAATAATTTTATTTGTGGAAAAAATATCAAA